CTACCCGTAAGAAAAATATACTCATATTTATGTAAACTCAAACGGTCAAACCCGTTCAATCATATTTATGTACAATATTATTATATTTTAAATATTTTTAGTGTAAAAATATTAATAATACTTTAAATTTTTGTAGAGTTTAAATAATTCTAATATTTCAAATACTCTATAAAACTTAAATGAAATATTATAATTTGCACCTTTGAAAAGTTTTAATATTTATAAAATTTTAAACTTTTTTAAAAAATTAAAATTTATAACTTTTTGAAACTTTTTCAAAGTTTTATTTTTCTTAAATAAAGAACCAGATTAAACTGAATATTTTTTTTAATTTGGATACCTGAAAAATCAAAGTCCATGCTTATTTGTAATTGTGAACATATTAGTCCTATTTATAATGAGTTTGAACTATTATCCAGAATTTTCTACAATATGTAGACGTTGTACGTATACTTTTTTCCTTTATCGATTGAGTTATATATGTCCGATTTCAAAATTTTAGATTGCAAAATGTGTGGGAAAAAATTGTAGTTTTATTATAAATATATTTTATGAATAATATAAATTAAAAACAAATAATTTTATATAAATGTATTGGAGATATATTCAATTTATTAGAGAGAGATTTCAGGAAATTGTTTTGATGTAATAAATATTTGTTTCCAATTTTTCTATTTGCTTGTGATTTAATTACAAAATTTACTTTTAAATTTAGTTTTTTTTTAAAATGGCAAGGGTTTGATTATGCAAATATTACAAAATAAAAGGTTATAACCCAAAATAGATTTTAGTACAAAATGTACTTCAAAAATGTTAAGATAGATGATAGTTCTGGAGTCTTAGAGCATGTTAGGATTGTTGAATTGACTTTGTAATGATTTCTGAATTTGTTGGTTAATGCAATGGTTTGGTGAATTGTTATTTTTATTGGTTAATGCAATGGTTCCGCTGGTTTTATTTGGTTATGATCTGTTTGAATTGGAATTGCTGGTTAACCGGAGAAATTTATTAATTTATAAAAATTATTAATTTGTCGAGTATTAATTTATAGAGTGTATATATAATTTATTTTAGGAATAAAACTCGTCTTTCCAAATTGTTTTCTTTCATCTCATGTACTGTATTTCAACACTTTTATTGGTTTACTATTTTCTTTTGAATGTTACATGAACTAATTGATGATATAAGAAAAGAAAAGGCTAAAAGACTAACAAAAATTAGAAACTTTTCTTGAAAAATCTTCTATTGAAAAGAGAAATACATATTTTATTACATTTACATAGGGAAAATGGTCATTTTTTTTTTTTTTTTGTCGCCGGGAAAATGGTCATTTAAATACTGAACTTACATGTTTTTGCCAAAACAAATATGAACTTCTAAATAAGCCAAAAAACACACGTACTCACGTTGATATAGCCACTTAAAATATTAAAAAATCAAGATAATTTTCCATCTTATAAAAGTTAAACGGCGTTTGTTTGTAACACGACATCATCCAATTAAAAAATGTACAATCTTTCACTTTTTTTTTCCTTTTTCGGTTTCTCCTTCTAAAGGTTTTTAAACCTGCAATCGACAGAGATACAGAATTCATGAAAAGTCATTAAAAACAAAAGAGACTTGTTGCAACTAAAAGAAAACAATAAAAGCAAAATAAAACAGAGACTTGTGTAATGGTCTTACGAAGTAAAAAAACAAAAAACAGACTCATTTCCCCAAAAGCAACTAAAGTCTAAAGCAACAAATTGTTTCTTGTGATTGTCGTTGTAATCTTCCTTCATAAAGGTTTAAACATCTTGAAGTTCTAGTTGTAATCCATCTTGAGGTTCGACTTGTGATCATCTTTCCTGTGTAAAACATAACAAAGGAAGTTTTAACAAACATTACTAACTTCAAAATAAAACTGATTTTAAAGAAAGTGAACTAACCGGTTCTTTCCTTGGTCGACCCCTTGGTCTTTTAGCTTCAGGCTCAACACTCTGGTTTTTACATCCTAACTTATTGTGTCCTTCTTCCTTGCAGTTTGAGCATGTCATGATACGTTTCTCTTGGCTTAACTTGATCTTGGTATTGTTAGAAGAAGATTCATTAACTCCTTTTTTCCTAGCGTGGTTGCCTAATCTATTTGGTGGTGGTAAGACGGGCAATCTATTTAACCTAGGCCACAACTTCATTCCTTCCATAGAAACTATTATGATCTAGTGATTTGTGTTAATTCTTAGCATATACTCCAGCTAATACTTTCCCAAAATTAGAGCGACACCTAGCCAATTTTTCTTGTTTCTGCTTTCATTGATATTTTTTCTTCATATCTAATACTTTTAGAATAGTAATCGGTTACTTTTGTATCAATTTTTTTGTTGTGATACCAATTAATAAAAATGTATCATTTTAAAAAGCGATGTTAATTTTGATTCATTTTTAAGTGAGGTAAATAAATTATAAATACATCAGTTAATTAATTGATGTGTTTTCATATTTTTCCATCCATATTTTTGAAATGATGCAAACCAATATACATTTATATCATTTAAACTGAATCGATGTCAAACATTTCAATTATAACATCAATTATTATGATTGATGTTTAACCACATATTTTGTATCATTTATCAATAAATAATTTAAATTAAAATCATTTGTTTTTATGATACTATTTAAGTGATACAATCTATTCTTTTTCTTGTAGTGATCAACTCTAATTGTGGCTGACGGATCGGAATTTACAACTTAAAAAATATGATCAAATGTGATGCCTCTTCTTATTATTTATACTAAAAAGATGTAGGGTTAATCGAATATATATTTTTGGTAAGATTCCTTTTCTAGTAAAAATAAGAAGATTAAGAAAATAGGAATACAAAATGTAATTTTTATATATTTCATATATTGTTTTTCAAAAGTTTACAATTCTCTTTTTTCTTTATATTTCCTTTTTCCTTTTTATTAATATTTTTATAAAAAAGAAATAGAAGTTAAAAATGTTAATTAATGAGATGGAAAAATGTTAACTAATTAGAAAAAATAAGAAGATTAAGAAAATAAGAATAAGAAATGTAAGTTTTATATATTCCATATATTGTTTTTCAAAAGTTTACAATTCTCTTTTTTCTTTATATTTCTTTTTCCTTTTTATTTAATATATATATTTTTAATATTAAAAATGTTAATTATTAAGATGGAAAAATGTTAACTAATTAGATGTCTAATTACAATTGGTTGTTTAAAATCCCACGTGGACGCTCTCAAAAGCTTATAGACTCAACTTTTATATAGTATAGATACTCCAAACGATGATATATGTGATCTGAATGCACATCTTGAAGATGATGCTTTCAGGGGGAGAAATATGATTATGTGCGTGGTTGTACTCTTTTTCCTTATCATTGTTTTTATCCCATTGGGTTTTCCATGAAAGGTTTTTAACGAGACAACAAACAACACGCAAAAGAAAAAAAACTAAAGCGAAATGTTGTTATTCCAATGATGAAAGACTATCATCTTCAAAGTCTTTATTATGCATTGATGAGATAGTGAGAAACAACGATACTGATAAAGATGAGTCATTTGAAAAGATCCATGACCAATTGAAGAATGGCGATGCACGTGTACTACTCGTTCAAGTGAAGATTTGGCGGACATATTTACGAAGACGCTTCAAACTATCACTTTCAAGGAGTTACTTCATCAAATTGGATCGTCTCATCTCGAAGATTTCTAGTGATGTTTTCATGAGGGGGAATAAAAGCGCGCTGCACTCTTTTTCCCTTAACCATGGTTTTTTCCACTGAGTTTTCGTGGTAAGGTTTTTAATGAGGTAGCACATCTCACATGCGCAACTTGGACTACATTTTTATAATGGTCATCCAAGGGGGAGTGCTATGAATAATATATGCATTGTATGGATGCCCATTATAGACCCATTATAGATCCATTAGATTTAGTAGTGTCTAACCTAAACCCTATATTGTATCCTATATATATATGCTATATCATATGGAATAGATGAATAGCAAGAGTACCATTCCCCTAAACCCTCTTGTTCTTAACAATAGTTTGTTTCTCATAAACCCAAGTGAAATTATATCATTTGTGAATAATTTGCAAATAGTCTCAACACCAATGTCATAATGATATAAGTACATACGAAATGATGTTTAGGTTATTTTTGATATTTATTAAAATTAGAAAAGAAAATGAAAGCTTTACTTGGTTTTCTTTAAAGAGAACGTTAGTAATTTAAAGTTGTCAATGCATTTTACTCTATTTTATTGGTAGAGAAATTAGATTACATATTGATCTGAATAATTTTCATTAAAGAGCAGCATGTAACATTGCTCAATTACGATCACTCCATACAAAGGATATAATTTTAGAATAAAGATTTACAAATGAACAGTTAATTTTATACAAATCCATTACTACTACAATGTTTGGTTTGAGGTTTTTTTTTTTTTTTTTAATATTCTACAAGCTAGTTTCTTCTACGTGTTCTTAAATCAAACTTTACCTAATAAGTCTTGTTACTTAAACTATATATGCTATAGTAGTGGAGGGAGAAAAGTCTATACATATGTCTATAATATCCACTAATTAATAACCCAAAGAAAAACATGCATGAGATGTCCCATGCATGTTACGTACTGATGAAGCGTTTTTTCAAACTCTAATTAATGTTCCCAAGCAATGGCACGAAATATAAAGACAACGCAAACTCTCTCGTTGGATGTTAACTAAAACTACAATTATAAGAAACAAAAAGCTCTTTGCCTCTTTTCTATCGTTTCTTCTTTTTTTTTTTGGCTAAATGAAGTGGTTGGTTTTACAAAATGTGTAACCTATACAGAGTTGGTTTCTTGGCAAAAAGTGGAAAAACAAGAAAGCAAAGCAACCTTACAAAACAGAACCGATTCAGTGCAACCAAAGCCTCATAAGCGTCGTGAAACGCTTATTGAGTTGTCGTGCAGTGTTGTTCTATCGTATCTTCCAAAGTTGCAATCATGGAAGTAAACACTCGAGAAGAGAATCAACACCTTAATTCATCTGCATGGTTTCAACGATACGCTGACCACCAAGGCGAGTGGTTAGAAAAAACAAGAGGGAACCTTGTCGTTGCCGCAACTGTCATTGCTTCGATGAGCTTTGGGGTAATGGTTAACCCTCCCGGCGGCGTTTGGCAGAATGATAAATGTCAGAGTGATGAATATTGTACGGAAAAAGCCGGAACTTCGATACTAGAGTACTCTGCCAAACGTGTGTATTACCTCGGAATGGTAATTAGCTGTTTGGTCTCGTTTTCTGCCTCAATGGGAATCATCCTCCTTGTCGTCGTTGGCTTCAGATTTAGGTACATTATTCATTTATCAAAACCGGTCTGATTGATATATTATCTAGTCATGAGCACAGTTTAGTATAACATTATAACTATCACTGTAGGAACCGGTTTATAATGGCGATTATGGTATTGTTCATGGTCCTCGGGGTTCTCTGTACATCCGCGGCCTTCTTATTCGCTGTGGTGTTGGTTCAACACGAGGATGGTTTCATTCTGAGTATACTACTAATTTATGTGGGATTTTGGGTGGTACTTCTGGTTTCGATCCTCCTAATCCAGCTAGTTCGGCTGTTACGAAGGCTTATTAGGTTCATAAGAGGCCACTCGAGTCCACAACTGCCATTAGCTCTGCCGCCTGTCGCTTGACGAACGAAAAGGAGGAATCCGTGACCGTGGCTCGAACCTTCGTGGGAAAGGAATATGTCTGCACCAATGTGATCAGTATAATAATTGTATCCCATATTATATTGTTAATCATTATTATAAAACCTTTAATATTAAAAGTAAAGCACTGTCATATTATTAAAACTTAATGGTTTAATTACATTGCAAGGTGTTTTATATTCGTTGTTTACATATATAGTCTTGTTAGCTCTCAATGGGCGTTATATAGAGACTTTAAAAGGTGTCCATTATTATATACACGAGACATGTTCTAAATAAATGAATTCATTATAAAAAGATATCTTTTTAGTGTTATATGACAAAATATATATAGATCAAAGAAAATAATAAATCCACTACTAAAACATTGTTTTTTTTAATATATTATAAATATCTTATAATTTTTTTGTTGATTCAAATATATAACTGATCAAACTGTCGAGTTAGAAACCTTCAAATTATATTGATACAAGTTGTGGAGAAGAACTAAAAAGAGGTGCGTATTGTCAATACACACATACACAATCGAACATATATATGCAATTACGTACAATCAAACATCGATTAATTAACGTTTTTCTCTACTTAGTTAGTCATTTACGATTTATTAGTTCAATTATAATGCATACGCGGCAAAGAGAAATACCCAAAGAAGTTTAAAATGCAGACACATTTTTTCATATGTATGTATGGTTGTCAAAAAAAAAAAAAGGAAAGCATACATAGTTTGTGAAATTGAATCACAAATGATATACATAGACCCAAAGCCGTGCCTAACCATTTTAAGGTTACACAATGAGAAAACATGTAAATTTCTTACGAAAAATCTTACAAATATTTTGGAATGACAGATTTCTTACCAAAACACTTCGCATTTATTACAAAACAGCAACATGTAAAAAAAAAAGGAAATTTACTACGAATAACCGTGTCAGAAAGTGGAAGAAATTTTTCTTACCAAATTTATTTAAATATTATTTTCGTAGGAAATCTTGAAGGAAAGGGAGAAAAGTAGTGAAGGAAAAATCGCGGATAGAATTTGGTAGGAAACTTTCCTACCGAATTCCTTGAGGTAAAAGTTTGTAGAAAATAGCGTAAGAAATCTGAAGATAAAGGGAAGGAAAATGTTTTGTAGGAAAGTAGAAGGAAATGGATTTGTAGGAAATTTATAGGTAAACTCGTTTATAAGATTCTGGTAGGAAATTTGAAGGTTAATTTTCGGCACCAAACAAGTGGTAGCCCAAGTTGATAACAAGTGTATATAATAAGTGGGTAAGTGGATAATTCAGTATGGTGGTTGGAACAATGTTAACTTTGGTAGAAACATAGAAGGAAAATGATTTGTAGGAAATTTATAGGTAAACTAGTTTATAAGATTCAAATTTTGAAGGTTAATTTTCGGCGCCAAACAAGTGGTAGCCCAAGTTGATAACAAGTGGGTAAGTGGATAATTCAATATGGTGGTTGGAACAATGTTAACTTTGGTAGGAAAAGAGTAGGGAACAAGAAATTTGTTAATCACACTCATTCTCATTCGCATACACATCTTTGTTACACTCTATCGTCTACACATCTATCTCTTCATAAGTAGTATTTTTTTTAAAAAAGTTTTAAGAGAAAAAAATTTGTTTTTTCTATGAATAATTTTCCGGCATGGTTAGACGGAGAAAGATTTTATCCCAACGGGATGCTGACGAGGGCTTATGCAGCAGGAGTTACAGAATTTATGCACGTTGCTATGAATCAGGACAACTGCTTGAGAAGTGGTATGATGTTGTGTCCTTTTCCATGTTGTAATAATAAAAAATTTATCGATTTAATTTGGGGACATATCTATAGAGATGGAATAATGTCGAGTTACAAAATATGGTTTTATCATGGGGGAAAATATGCATACCATATGGGTAGTTCTAGGGGAAATAAGCCAGAAAGGGTAGAAGAATCTATGATTAGGGAAGAGGAGGTAAATATAGTTCCAATGGTGCATGATGTTTATAAGAAAAATATGAATTCCTTTGCAGAACCTAAGAATATTGTAAAAGAACCAAATTTAGAAGCGAAATTTTTTTATGATATGCTAGATTCTTCGAAGAGTCAATTATATGAAAGTTGTAAGGAAGGCCATTCTCCTTTATTTTCTGCAACTAGAATGATGAATGTAAAGACTTGTTACAATTTATATGAAGATTGTGTAGATGCTTGGGCAGATTTCATTAAAGAAATTTTCTCCGAAGACAACATCTCACCAGCTTCATATCAAGTGATCGATGTTTGTATTGACAACTGTATGATTTACTGGTAAAAAGCGCAGACTACTTAGCTTGTCGATTTTGTGGGAAGCCTTGGTTTCAAAATACTGGTGGGAGGTCTCGAGTGCCATTTAAACGTATGTGGTATTTACCAATAGCAGATCGGTTGAAAATGTTATATCAACAACCACGCACGGCTGGAGCTATGAGATGGCACCACGAGCATTCAAACACTGTATACAAGCCAAAAACAAAAATATAGCTTCTTATGGTTTTGAGGGCTGGGAACCCGAGTATACATACATTTATGTTGAAATTAAACCATTCGCACACAGAGACTTCTATTGAAAAAATACCGAAAATAAATCTTAATATATATATCGTCCGGGGAAAAAACCCAAAAAATACTTGGTTTTTTATTTTTTTGACGTTTAAACCTGAATTTGTTTTGTTGAAAATACATATACTTATTAACATTTGTAAATTAATTCTTAAAAGATAATTTTTTTTTATTTTCATACTCACGCTCTAAAACAAAAATAAAATTCCAATTTTACCTTTACTATTTAAATTAATTATTAATGTTCAAATTATGTGACAATAATATCTAATTTTATTTGATGAAAACTGTTACGCCCCGACCGCCATCTCTCCAATAGGCCCATGTTCACCACCAGTCCATCGGTACACCTCTTTTAATGGGCCTCACATCCTCTCACTAAGCCAATGAGCCCATTAATATATGACGGCTGATTTGCTACGTCCAAAAGCCTTTAATAGTTGTTAACCGATCCTACAAATCATCACATGATCTTTCCCTATGTTTTAGCCTCACTCACACAGTTCCGACAACCACTTCCCGGAAGGTCACCCATCCTTTGACTACTCCAGCTTAAACACGCTTAACTATGGAGTTCTCTCATGACCCTTGACCGGAAGATAAGTACACCTTGGTGACATAGGTAGCAAAATCAATTCATTTAAACCTCTCCGCAACCGGGGTCTCACAAAAACTAAATTTTAAATTAAAAGTAATTTTTCATTGATATTTTTTTACAAGAATTATTTATTTATAAAAGAAAAATAATTAAGTATTAAAAAATCTAAAAATAAAAAGATTACTCAAGTGTTATTGATAAGATAAAGTTTGTAAGCAAAAATGATTTGAAATAACCTAATCAAATTTTAATGAATATAGATTTCATTTGTAAGAAATTTTTTTTTAATAATTCTTTTCATTTACAATTTCCTTAATTTTTATAAATTTATTAGATTATCTTTTATTTTTATTTACTTTGTATTGATAAATAAAATCATAATCGTAAAAACAAAATATAAAAATTACTTTTTGAGTTAAAATATTTAACTGGTTAAAAATTGAAATTTGATGGATGGTCCAGATTTTAAATTGGGTTATTTATATTTAAAATTGGGCTACTATTCAAAATATAAATAGTTAACTGGTTAAAAGTTGAAATTGGATGGATTAAATTGGGCTAACGTGGTTTAGTTGGGTTTAATTGACTTAGTCTAGTTTAGTTGGTTCAAATTAACTGGGTTAATCTAGTTGCATGATTAAAATTTAAAATTTTTTGGGATGAGTTTTTTAAAATGAGCCCTTAAGGTTCTAGGGTTGGGTTAAATAGGTGACTGTGATATGATGTATGAATTTCGTTGATGAAGAATAATGACGTGAATTGCATGTCTCGTTGATTGTATGTGTGTTAATCAATTGTGTGGGCATGCAGACCTAGATCATTCTCTCGAGCTTTCAATGATATTCCACAGTAAGTTGTGTGTTTTGTGGTTTAATGCTCTTGTGTGCTTAGCCTTCTGTTGTTTAGTGCAGATGGTTAGAGGTGGAGCTGCTGGTGGTCGTGGTCGTGGCCGTGGCCGTGTTCGCGGTAGGGAGCATGGTGTTGCCTCGAGTAGTGACGCAAGTGTGGATCCGGGAGCGACGGCTGAGCATGTTAGTGATTCTCAGACGTTTCAGGAGCGATCTATGGGCGATGCAAGTGTGAGTGTCGTTGGAGCCGGCTTGCCTGGAGACAGTACTGGTGTTGTAGGGAACCCGGTTGGGGATGTTCCAGCTGGTGGGACCCAGGATCAGAATGATTGTCTTGCAGATCTGCTAACAGAGTTTTTGGAGCGGTTACCGGAAGCGGTACTAGTGCAAGCTCCAGTTGGACCGCCAGGGGTTGCGGGGGTGCAGCTAGTTAGGCTAGGTGGGCCCGGTGTGCAGCCCGGTCTCAGGGTTGTGGAGTGTAGTAACCCTCACCCTGACCTAGTGGCCGGATGAAAAATCATCGATGAACGGGTGAGAAAAGAAATCTGAGAGAATTGGAAGAAGTAAAAACAATGATCTATCGAAGCCTACCTGAAGGAAACAAAGTTCGATCAAGGCATAACCGAAGGAAACGTCACTTGGTCGAGAGATGTGCGTGGAAACGTAGCCGGAGAGGTACGTTACCAACCGTGTGAAGTTTGGACCGAAATCAAAGCAAGGCATTTCGACCCAAAGCCATAAAATGGCTAAGTATGAAGGTTTATCGAAGCGGATTGCCAAAGAAACGAGGAAGGAACGAATAATGTCGAGACTTCATCATTCCTGTCGACGGCCGGTTGAGAAAATCCGATCTTGCCCGATTCAGTGTATCTGCACTCGACAGCTTTGCCACATGGCAATTTTCGACAAGAAAAGCCAGAGAAAATCCGAGAAAATATCTTGCGAAG